GTGGTGACAAGGCCGTATCAGGCCCACCCCGCCAAGCCCGCATCCCATTCCGTTCCGCCATTTTTACTTTTTATTTTCTTCGCCCCGCGAGATCAAGCCAGGGGCCGAAAAAGAGCGAGGCGAGGCGCACCGGGGGGCGCGACCGAAATAGGGAAAACCGCGCCGTGGAAGGAGCGGCGCCGAGCGGCGCTTGCCACGGAGACCACTACCCTCGCCGGCCCAGGGTTCGAATACCGCTGCCTCCAGATGGCGACCCCTTTTTCCCGCCACGACCGGAAACTGAGAGTGCCCCCGTCATTGCGTTCGGGAAGGAGCGCGCCCGGGCCGTTGGAGGGATATTTCCCGGGGAGTCGTTGCTGGGAACCTCACGGCGAGTCCCCCCCCCCTCCCCCTTCCTCTCCTCACCCTTCGCCATGCCTTCGCCAGCACGGCCGCCGCCCCACTGGCGCTCGGGCGCGCGGGGTGCTCCTTCGCAGCCCAACAAGATCCCGGTTATGAACAAAAACATGGGAGCTGTAGTACAGCCAGGTCGAGGAGGCGGCGGTGGGGCAGGGGCCGAAGCAGCGGAGTAGGGAAGCCTGGCTCTCCACGCCCGGCCCGGCCCGGCACGGCACGGCACGGCCCGGCAGGGCACGGCACGGCACGGCGTGGCCCGACACGGCGGGTGGAGAAAAGCAGGGAAAAAGGCGGGCGGATTCGGCCGGAGCTGAGATTTTCCTGCGCGACGCGGAATGGAGGGGCAGGGCGGGGGGCAGGGAGGTGGAGCGGACGGCCCAGGGGGTTAGGGAGGCAGGCATCAAGTGGCGGGGAGATAAAGAAGTGGACGGGAGGGGCGCGAGCACGAGCGCGGTGACCGCCACGGCCTCTGGACTCGGCCCGGCCCTCGGCCCGGCCGGCACACACCTTGCCAAGGACCCGCCAAGATTCGCATCTCTATTTATGGATTTCGGTGCTCTTTTCTTTTCACAAGTACTACAGAGAAACCACAAAGATATTGACTGGGTCCCTTTCGGCCCCGTTATTTTTCTCCCCATAAATTGGCTTGCCAGCAGCGGGGCGCAATATCACCGCGGCTTTTGTGGAGTCATCGAGGGTGAAAATATAGGAAAAATGGAGATCCGGCCCGGGATCCAGGGCGCGCGGACTAGCCGAGCTAGCGCGGACAGGGCGGGGCGAGGCGGGGAGTGGGGCAGGATTTGAATGTGAATGGAGCAAAGGCCAGCGACTACACGATCCGTCTTGGGCCACACCGGCAGGTCGGCCAGCCCGATGGCAGCGCCGAGGCCAGCCCAGCCCGGCACGGCCCGCCGGCAACGGATCAACGGACGCCGTGGCAAAGACCGACGCGCGCATGCATCGCAACGAAACACGCCAAGAAGAAGGGAAAAGCGAAACGGCGACGAGAAGATCGAGGGAGCAGCGGACGCCAGCCGCGCCAACATGATGGCTGCCCTTGGCACTGCGCTTCTTTCGCCTGATTAAATTGTAAATCACACTCCGGGCGGGCAGGCGGCGGCGCGGCGGCGCGACAGAGACGCGTCCCCACACACACGGCCGCGTTGACGGCCTCGGTGATTGGTGTGACGCGAGGTCGTCCTGGCTCTCCTGGCCGCTGGCAGTGCTGGCAGGGCGCCCGCCGAGGCCGCGCCCAGTCCAGAGGCCTCCTACATCAGCGCGGCCATGACGCGCCAAACGCAGCCATAGGCCGAAGCCATCGGCAGCAGCGGCAGGCAAAAGTCCGCCAGGGCGCAGGGGAGGGGGGGGGAGTCCACTATCGCGCCAAAAAACTCGCTAAGCGTTTACTTTACCGGCGGCCTCGTCTCGTCACCTCGCGCAACAATAACAGAGACCAGAGCCGCCAGCCCCGCGGTGTGGCGGTGTAATCTCCGACGCGCCGCGCCCCCGCAGCCCCGCGCCTCGAGGCGAGCCGAGGCCAGCACCAGAGGAGGAGCAGCAGAAGGCGGAGACAAGGCGGTGGCACCTGCAGCAGGCAGCCAGGCAGCCGACCGCTGTGGCCGCTCCCAGCAGAGGCAGAGCCTTGCAGAGCCGGCGCGGCTTCGGGCGGATTTTGGCGCGAGCCGCGAGCCCCATTGGGAAACGATCCAACGCCGGGCACGGCGTGCGGCCCCCAGAGGGCGGTAGCGGCGGCGGCAGCGGTGGCGGGGAAAACTCTCATTTTATTTTATTTTTTCAAATGTCAGAGCCATGCCGCCCTTACGGCGAGCACGCAGCGGGCGGCGAGCGGCACCCCCTGGGCCTGCTCGGCCTGCTGCACTTGGGGCCTGATTGCTAGACCGCCACGAACACCAATGAATAAACATCCCTGCAGACAGCCCCCCACCCCCTCACTCTCACACACATACACACACACCGATGGGAAAATGCTTAAAAGGAACGCTGCCGTGCGGCCCGCGGCCCGCGGCCGGCTTCAAAGGAAGGCTCGCAGGGAAATACAGAAGAGGATAGAACCCGCGCCGCCACCACTACCCTGGGCGGGGGCTGTCCCTCCTTCTCTCTATCTCTCCCTCCCTCTCTAAAACCCTCGCCGTGTGGTTCGACGACGCCGAATGGGCGCCGCGAAAACGTTGGCGCGCGCGCGTCCTGCATCCCCCGGCACAGCAAGTAGTGCCGCGAGCAGGACACGCGACCTCAGGGAGTGTGAGAGAGAGATATGGCTGGACCGGGGTGCCAGTTACCACGCCGAAGGGGGCGCCGTCGAGGGCGCGACGCGGAGAAAAATCAGAAAGAGTGTAGGGGAGGGGGAGGGGAGGTGTTGGTGGCGGGGGCGTGCCGGCGTGCCGCGGATCATGTCAAACAAATTACTGGCGGGCGTAATAAGGGGGCTCCGCTCGCTCCGCTCCTCGCCGCGCCGCTCCGCAGGCTGCTTCCCAACGGGGCCCTCGCCGCTCTGTCTCCCTCGCACTCACGACGCGCCCCGTGGGGGTGCGAGAGAGACGGGGCGGCGGGGCGCAGTTCGGCGGCGGCCTGCCGCGCACGCCCCGTCTAATGACTGGTAAACATCTCACTCGCGCCTTCCGCCTGCGCCGCCCCTTGCGCCGCCCCGCCGCCCCGCCGCCCGCACCAACTTCGAGGAGGCCTCCTTTCTCGCCCGCCGCCCCCGCCGCCCAAACTGCCCTTAGCGCCCCGCCGCCCCACCACGCCCCACCTGCCGGCCCAAAGTGGCGGCCCGTCGAACCGGTGTTGGAATCGATTAATTCCCAAGTTGGGAGAAAGCCGCAGCGGTCCGGAGCCCTGAGACGCGCAGCGCGCAGCGCGCACGCAGTCGTTTGGGGCGACAAGTGGGCCAAGTTGGGGCGCTGCTGCACCGTCGCCACCACCCGCAGGTAGGCAACACGCAGCCAGGCGGCCCGCCCACAAACGAGAGCCTGGTACCCTGGGACAGCATCAGCGGGCGGTGTCCGAGGCCTCTGCTGCACCAGGCCGATGAAGGCGGCGGCGGTGGTTTTTTGGCGCTGACCGGCAATGCACTGCCGCGCCCAGACGGGCTGGCGGGCTGGCGGCCCCGACCACCGCGAGCACCACCAGCACCAGCACCACCAGCACTCCAATATACGCGGCCCCTCCCTGTCGCTCCCAGCAGCAGCAAGCAGCAGCGAGCAGCAGCGCCTCGCCGCGCAGCACTCCCCATTTACTTTGGACTTTGTTCATGCAGCCAACTCCAGTGGAGTAACTCCACCACCGCCGACTCCATTTAGTCCGCCGCCACTCCCTCCTCCCGGCGAGCAAGCAGCGAAGCAGCGCAGCGGCGGCGCCCAGATTTGTTTTTGTTTTTAAAAACGATTCGCCGGAGCGGCAGCGCGCTGCGCCCTGCGCGCGCCACGCGCCGAGCTTCGGAAAGACAACACGGCGGCGCCACCTGCGCCCTGCCGCCCCGCCGCCCTGCGCGCGTGCCTAATGCCGTTCCATTTTCCAGGCGGGAAGAAAACAAAAACAGAAACAAAAACAAAACGTGGAGGGACAAAGACGGAACAGAAGCAATAGCTATAAAGGACGGAAACAGAAAACAAAAGCGCGCCAGTACACTTTGTTTTCAATTAACACGTAGGCGCGGTGGCGGATTGGATGGGGGACGGAATGATGAGAAGAGAGAGCGCGAGATAGAGAGAGAGAGAGGAGGAGAGAGAGCGAAGGCGGTGCGCGGGAGCTCCCTCTTTGAATAATGACTCGCTAACGCGACGCGCACTTAGGGTTTGACAACTCGGAGGGACAGGGACACGCTCTGGGATTCAAATCAACAACAATCTGGCGACTCATTCCTCTGCAGCCTGTGCGGCCTGTGCCAGTGTACCGCCTGTACCAGTGTACCGCCCCGCGGCCCCAGTCCCGTCCCCTGGTCGGTCGGGTCCCGGCACAGTCCCGGCGAGCGTCCCGACTGCCTGCTGTGTTTGCGGTCCCATCGTAACGCTCATAAGGAAATTGAAAAAGTTTCCGCGGGGCGGGCCGCGCGCCGCGGCGTCCTCCGTCGCCTCCCGCCCCGTCGGACCACCCGGACCACCCGGACCAGTCCGAGGGCAGTGTCGCAAGTAAGTAGGCAAACAGGCGAACATTCCCGCTTCCAAAGGGTTGTCGTCCTCGGCGTGCTCACTGGGCAACTTCTCGAGAGCAAAGCCGATATTGCGCATAGACTGGCAGGCGGAGGTTGGCAACCCTTTTGCCTACTTGTGTGGCGACACTGTACGGGGTGTCCCTTGGCGGCCCGGCGGCCTTCGGTGCCAAGCAGCCACGTGTCTGGTAGGGGTGCGGTACCCTCGGCTACGCATGCTGCGCTTACCTGTATCTGATGCTGTGGCCGGGCGTGGTGGGGGCGTGCTCCAGCCCCTGCAGCGCCCCCTACGAGGCGCGCCCCGCCGGCCCCGCCCCCGCGCGGCCCCCAGCCCCCCTGCCGACGCCCTGCGGGCCCTACGCCATGCCAGCGCGAGCCAGGCCAGCCAGGCCAGCGCGGTGCCCCGGACAGCGACGGCAGCGGCGGCAGCGGCCTAGGGGGCGTAGGGGGCGCAGGGGGCGTAGGGGGCGGGCCTCGGCGGCGGGTCGGCACGCAGTCGACGCAGTCAGCATGGCAGTCGCGGCCCTGGAACAGAACACAGTGGAGATTAGACACTCTTGCTACTTCAAAGTCTTTTTCCATTCAACAAAAATTCAGCGCGTTTCCCTTTCGAGCTCGACGTGGACGAGAGCCCTCTGCGGCTGGAGCCCTCGGCGGCCCTCGGCGGCCCTCGGCGGCCCTCGGCCCTTTGTCCAGCGACGCCCTGCCAGCCTCGCAGCCTCGCAGCCCTCCCAGCCCTGGCCCTTGACGGGCCATGGTAATTGCTTGTCCAGGCCGTTGTCATGGTAACGAATTCCTTTGCGGGCCGGCCCTGACTCGCCCTGACTCGCCCTGACTCGCCCTGACTCGCCCTGACTCGCCCTGACTCGCCCTGACTCGCCCTGACTCGCCCTGACTCGCCCTGACTCGCCCTGACTCGCCCTGACTCGCCCTGACTCGCCCTGACTCGCCCTGACTGCACATTTCCAAGGCACGGCCTCGGCCGGACCGCCCTGCTGCTGTTTCTGCTGCAGAGGGCGCGCTGCCTTGTAATCCCCAACACACACTACACGGCCTGCAGCGCGACGCAGCGCGGCGCAGCACCTGCAATTACCCGGCGGGGCTCGGCAGGGCCGCTTCAAAGTGTAGCGGCAGGCAGGAAGAGGGCCGTGGCCGGGGCGCCGAGGCCGGGGCGCGCAGAGCAGGCAGAGCAGGCAGAGGCCGCGCCGGTCAAGCACGCGCCACTGCGCCGACTCAAATTGGTTTCAAGCGGCCCCTTTTGTGGAGTGAGATTGGCGGACGGAGAGAGAAAGAGAGAAGCAGGTCGCGCGGCGGAGACGGGGAAAAAAGAGGGGAAGTGAGGGAGAGAGACGAACGGGTGGAACGGACTGGGCGATAAAAAGGGGTAGCCTCGCGCCAGGGGGCGGTCGGTGGCGGTGCGGGTATCTTCCCCACGGCGACACGGTTCTTATCTCACGCTGGTCGAACGCCGCGCGGGGGAAAAAGGGGGGGGGGAGATGAGCGCCGCGAACTGACAAATGCATGGCTGCCTCAAGTCAAACAACCCGCACCGCCAACCGACGGCGACCAAAGGGCGACGCACTGCCGGGCGCACCGCTACGCGCACCCCTTAGCGACGGGATACTCCATGAACGCAACAGAGGAGAGCGACGCAAAGACTCCTCGGAGCGCTCCACGGCTCCTCAATCCACACAGAGGCCACTAGAGGGGGCCGGAGGGGCTGTGTGCGCGCATCCGGCATAGCACACCGGACTTTGAGGGCGACCCACGGTGGCGTGGCGTGGCGCGTGCTCGGGCCCGGCCGCACAGTGCAGTGGACGACGAGGGCAAGGCCGGCAAGGCCCAGCCAGCCAGTCCGTCCGGCGCACGCTTTACGGCGTGGCTTGGCGTGGCTGAAAGAGCGCGGGAAGGGCGGGCGGGGACGCCTCACTGCTTCGCCCGAGGGGGTATGCGCTCTCTGAACCTGTGTACCGACTATTACGATATTACGCTCTATTACGCCACAAATTAATCGGAATTTAGCTAAAAACGGCCTAAAACACACCAAAATTGATAAAATTTTGACAATTTCGGCTATTACGCGACTAATACGCGACTATTACGCGTATTATTACGCGTGCTATTACAGATAGAGTGAACCGACTATTACGCGAGTGCATACCCCCTCGGCTTCGCCGCTTCGCTGCCTCGCTGTAGCGGCCCGGCCGGACAGAGAACACGCGCCGCTCCGCCGCTCCGCCGCTCCGCCGCTCCGCCGCTCCGCCGCTCCGCCGCTCCGCCGCTCCGCCGCTCCGCCGCTCCGCCGCTCCGCCGCTCCGCCGCTCCGCCGCTCCGCCGCTCCGCCGCTCCGCGCTCCGCCGCTCCGCCGCTCCGCCGCTCCGCCGCTCCGCCGCTCCGCCGCTCCGCCGCTCCGCCGCTCCGCCGCTCCGCCGCTCCGCCGCTCCGCCGCTCCGCCGCTCCGCCGCTCCGCCGCTCCGCCGCTCCGCCGCTCCGCCGCTCCGCCGCTCCGCCGTCCGCCGCTCCGCCGCTCCGCCGCTCCGCCGCTCCGCCGCTCCGCCGCTCCGCCGCTCCGCCGCTCCGCCGCTCCGCCGCTCCGCCGCTCCGCCGCTCCGCCGCTCCGCCGCTCCGCCGCTCCGCCGCTCCGCCGCTCCGCCGCTCCGCCGCTCCGCCGCTCCGCCGCTCCGCCGCTCCGCCGCTCCGCCGCTCCGCCGCTCCGCCGCTCCGCCGCTCCGCCGCTCCGCCGCTCCGCCGCTCCGCCGCTCCGCCGCTCCGCCGCTCCGCCGCTCCGCCGCTCCGCCGCTCCGCCGCTCCGCCGCTCCGCCGCTCCGCCGCTCCGCCGCTCCGCCGCTCCGCCGCTCCGCCGCTCCGCCGCTCCGCCGCTCCGCCGCTCCGCCGCTCCGCCGCTCCGCCGCTCCGCCGCTCCGCCGCTCCGCCGCTCCGCCGCTCCGCCGCTCCGCCGCTCCGCCGCTCCGCCGCTCCGCCGCTCCGCCGCTCCGCCGCTCCGCCGCTCCGCCGCTCCGCCGCTCCGCCGCTCCGCCGCTCCGCCGCTCCCGCCGCTCCGCCGCTCCGCCGCTCCGCCGCTCCGCCCGCCGTCCGCCGCTCCGCCGCTCCGCCGCTCCGCCGCTCCGCCGCTCCGCCGCTCCGCCGCTCGCGCCGCTCCGCCGCTCCGCGCGCTCCGCCGCTCCGCCGCTCCGCCGCTCCGCCGCTCCGCCGCTCCGCCGCTCCGCCGCTCCGCCGCTCCGCCGCTCCGCCGCTCCGCCGCTCCGCCGCTCCGCCGCTCCGCCGCTCCGCCGCTCCGCCGCTCCGCCGCTCCGCCGCTCCGCCGCTCCGCCGCTCCGCCGCTCCGGCCCGCGTCCGCCGCTCCGCCGCTCCGCCGCTCCGCCGCCCGCCGCTCCGCCGCTCGCCGCCGCTCCGCCGCTCCGCCGCTCCGCCGCTCCGCCGCTCCGCCGCTCCGCCGCTCCGCCGCTCCGCCGCTCCGCCGCTCCGCCGCTCCGCCGCTCCGCCGCTCCGCCGCTCCGCCGCTCCGCGCGCTCCGCCGCTCCGCCGCTCCGCCGCTCCGCCGCTCCGCCGCTCCGCGCTCTGCCGCGCTATCCCCGCGGGTTGCATGGCTGCCTGGCTGCCCCTGTGCTGCGCTGTGCTTTGTTCTGCCGCCGCGCGCCACTGAACGGCCGCACGGCCGAAGGCAACCGAAGGGCGATGCTGATGGCCGATCACTCCGGAGGCAGTCCACCGCACCGCACCGATACAACGACCCCGCCCCGCCCCGCCGGCGCCCCGCCACCCGGCGGCCCTGGCGTTAAAATATTGCGGCCGCACGCCGCACCTGCCGCAGCGCGTAGAGCCCCTTTCCCCGGCCGTCCTCGCGAGGGGAGGGAGGGGGAGGGGGAAGGGGGAATCCGCCGCCCTCTCCCACGTCTCGCATCGATCATCCGGGAAAAAAGGGAATGTCACAAGGAGTGACATTGTTTGTCATCTCCCGGGCGCCGCGCCGCGCCACGCAGACCGCTTTTCCTCTACGGAAAGGGTCCTGGAAGAGAGGCCAGGTGGAGCAGCCCGCCCGGCCACCACGCCCCGCACGCCCCGCCCCGCCCCGCCCGGCCACCACGCCCCGCCTCACCCCGCCACAGGAAGACCTGGGGTCACACACTAAACCGCACGACGTCCATGTCCCTTGGGCCCTTGGGGTCCGCGCGGTGGGGCCCCACCGAGCTCGACGCAGTTGCCCCCGGCCACCACCGCCACCGCCGCCGCGACCCCCCTCACCACGCACCCCAAAGCACAGAAAGGGAGCGGGCCTCACGCAAGGAGCTGTGAGTAATATTGGAGAGCAGGAAAACTGAGGCGCGTGTCTGCTACACTGCTCGCCTTTCGTCGCGCTGTCTCTGTCGCGCTCAGCCCGAGAGCATGCCGCGTGTCGTCGGCGTGCGAGAGAGACAGAGCGGCGACACGGCTCGCCGGAATCGCTCGGTCGGCACCGGCTGCTCCACTTGAATTATTTCGGCGACAAGTTCTCAGGCGGTGTTTTTGCCGGGAGAGGAGTGCTCTGTCGAGAAAAGAGTTCCCGAGGGAAGAGACAGGAGGATGGCAGGCTGCGGCTGCCGGCGGCCCAGGTGCTCCCGCCTGCTCCCGCCCACGGACGCCGTCGTGGCGTGGCGCCTGGCCCTGGCGGCCCTGGCGGCCCTAGCTGCCTGGTACGGCCCCCTGGGCTGTCCGCTGCACCACAACCCCGAGGCGGGGCGAGGGCGCGCGAGCCAGCCAGGGGGCAAGGTCCTTGACTGGAAGAATTCTCTCTCAAGGACGGCGAAGCGGCGAACCAAGGCTTTCCACTCCGGGCATGGACCGGGCGGGCGTCGCCATGGGACTGACTAGCCCCTCCCCTCCCCTGCCGTGGCGCCTCGCAGGCCGATCCCGCACAGAATGTTTCGTCGCCTGTCTCTCCTGCCTCTACGAAACATCTCACCAGCGTGCGCGATAGAGAGACAGACTATGGCACGACCGGTTACGAAACCACTCTCGGAATCATTCGGCAGTGTAGTCCCTCCTGCCTATCAATGCCTATTTGCTCGCGCGCCTCGTTTGGAAAATAATTGAAAACACACACGGTCCGTCCGTCCGTCCGTCGCCGTCCGCCTCTCTGTGGCACCACGGCACGCCACTGTATGGCCACTGTGGGGCTGCATGCGCTGCCGCTGGCTGAGCGAGCATGGCTGTTGCCGACCCGCCTCGACTCCCCCTCCCGCTTCCCCTCCCCGCCACCCCCCCCTGCCCCGCATCCCTTCGGATCGATTGCGGGCCGCTCAGCTGGCTGCCTGCCTGCCAGGGAGGGCCGGGGAGGGCCCTACCCCCACCCCTCGCTTCGTGCCTCGTCTAGTGAGGAAGGCCGGCAGAGCCAGAGAGCCGTGGGCACGCTGCACAGCACAGCCCGGCTGGAGACAAGATGTGTGTGTGTGTGTGTGTGTGTGTGTGTGTGTGTGTGTGTGTCTAAACCGGGTCGGCTGTGTCAGTCACAAGACGCCACAGGCTAG